ATGTAAATGTGTATTTAATATTAAAACTAATGGACACAGTTGAAATTTGTTACCAAAGTTAATTTCAAGTTTTCATGAGAAATTGTTGGTCATTTTGTATTGTTATAAACATTACAAAATATATATTTTTGGACTTGCAAATAAAATAAGGATTTCAATGTAATGTTAATTAGCTTTATTATGACATTTTTAACATCACAAATAATTCTCATACTCTCTCATAACATTAAGGTTACAGTGAAATAGCATTCATGAAAAAATATAATGCTTCAATTATAAATATAATGCATGATTGTTATTATCATTTGTATTGTTTACCCAGTTTTAAGTAAATTTTCCAATAAATATTTGGATATTAATTTTCCTTTTGTATAAAATGTTAAGTCCTTGCAAAACAAAAGAGCAGAAAACTGTTGAATCTGTGTTGTTCATATAGTAGTGACTTAACAAGCTTTTTTTTTTTATATAAGTCGTTCCATGTCAAATCACCAAGCAAAAAAAACCATTATGACACCCAACGTTTTATAATTGTCCAATTTTTTAAGTAATGTTACCCATCTATGGGTTAAGTATACCTGCAATTGTATTTTGGAAAAGTTTTCTCTTTCCAGAAATAGAAACATTTGAATTTTAGCCAAATTTGGTCAAAGATTGCTCATGGTGGCCATTTTGGATTTTAACAACTACCCTATGCCATTGTAATTATTTTCATAATTTTACCCAATTTTATTGAAATTGGACCAAGATTTTCCCACTCCCTAATTCAAGTATAAGGAATCCAAATATGGAATCACCTTTTACTTATATCCTAAAACAATCTCCCCAGTTACCCTTTAAACCCCCCTACTATAGAATTTAAGATTTATGAAAGGGTTCATTCCCTGTTTTTTGAACTTATTGGAATCCAATGTTTGACAAAACTTATCAACACCAAATTTGGAGCAAATACTATTAAAACCATGCAGTTTACAATATTAAAAATCTGAGATGGTTTTTTACCTTGTTCAAAAGT